GCCTCGGTGCGGCTGCCGCGGTCCCGTGGCACACCGTCCCAGGGCGTCTTCTTCTGATTTCCCGATTGCAGTCCCCATTTCTATCAATATTTGATCCCAGGTATGGGAATTCTTTTACTATTTCTATTTCTTCATTGTCTAGGTTGAACTTGTGAAGGTCTCAGTGGTCATTATTTTTGTTTTCTTTATGTTCAACATTAAGCCTGCCTTAGCACTTTCTTCTTTGATCTTCCTTAGCAGGTGTTCCAGGTCCGTGAGGTTTTCTGCTAGTACTATAGTGTCATCAGCATAACTTTGATTGTTGATATTCCTTCCTCCTATTTTCACTCCTCCTTTTTCTGTGTCCAAGCCTGCTTTTCTTATAATATGTTCTGCATACAAGTTGAACAGATAGGATGAAGGCATACAGCCTTGTCTGACGCTTTTGCCAATTGGGAACCATTATGTTTCTCCACGTTCTGTTCTGACAGTAGTCTCTTGTCCTGAGTATAGATTCCTCTTTAGGACTATCAGATGTGTTGTCTCTCCCATATCTTTAAGGGCATTCCACAGCCTTTCATGATCTATGCAGTCAAAGGCTTTGCTATAATCTGTAAAGCACATGTTGATTTTCTTTTGGAATTCCCTGGTGTGCTCTATTAGCCATTGTATGTTTGCAATGTGATCCCTAGTGCCTCTTCCTTTCCTGAATCCTACTTGGACCTCTGGGATTTCTCTCTCCATGTATGGTTGGGGTCTATGTTGCAGAATTTTGAGCATGATTTTGCTTGTGTGGTATATCAGTACTATGGTCCTATAGTTGCTGTGTCTCCCTTTTTCTGGATGGGGATGTATATTGATCGCTTCCAGTCTGTTGGCCATCGTTTTGTTTTCCATATCTGTTGACATATGTGGGTTAGCACTAGAGCTGACTCTGGACTTTATCACATGAGGGAAATCTATACTTTATCCCATACAAATCCCCCCCAAAAACACGTAATTACATGCAACGATTTCACACGATGTCACACAAAAACTGCTATTAAAGTGGTCAAAAAGTGGTGTTATCCCAGATCTTTTTGCTTTTGGGATTTTAGTTAAAAAGCATTTTTGATATTACTGTAATTGTGCATTTACTCTAGTGTGAAAGTCAAATTCGGTTTATTCACACAGTAACCCTCTTTTAATTCTTTTTTCCATTTTTCCCATGGTTCTCTGAGGCTGCTTTTACTTCCTGATTTGCTTGAGCGACAAACATGCCAGGCAGACATGAGCCTCTCTGCTTTTTCTTTCTGCGCATGTGCAAGTATAACATTTCTAGTACATTTACGGATTTCTTTCACTTCTGTATGAAATGTAAAAATGCCTTTTTATCTCTTTTCGTGCTATTTCGCATTTATTCTAATTATGCGTGAAATTCATTTGCGTGATCAAGCTTTATTTTCGGGATGGTTTATTTGTGCTTTATTATCTTTTTAAAGACAAAACTGGCCCCCGTGTGATAAAGTCCTCTGTCAATGTGGACTGCGGCAGTTCAATCGTAATATCATCTGCTCACCTCACTTTTTAGAATTTGGGGTTCATCTTCATATGGTTCTTCATTCCATGTGTCTTTCATTTTGTCATCTCTTTTATATAATTCTTCTGTGTATTGCATCCAATGCCTTTTTATTCCTTTCTGGTCTTGAATTATGTTATTTTTTATTGTCATAGATCATCCTAGTCCTTGGTTTGAATTTTCCTTTGATTTCCTGGATCTTGTGAAATAGATCTCTTGCTCTTCCATTTTTGTTGTTGTCTTCTATTTCTATGCATTGGTCATTGTAGTAGTTTTCTTTATCTTTCCACACAAGCTGTTGTACTGTTGCATTCATAATTCTTAGTTTGTTCCTATCTCCCTTTTGTTTTTCTTCTCTTCTTCTCTTTATTGCTGTAGTGTTTTTTCTGTCATTCATGTTTTTCTCTCTTTCTTTTTGTTTATTGAGAGTATCTGTCTGCATTTTTTCTTTATTATGTCCCTGGCTTCAGATCATAGTTCATTATTTACCTGGGTCTCTTCCTCTTTCCCAATCCATCTGTGTATACCTGTACTTGCCAACTAAAACTAACACATCTTGTATTTAATGAAGTAGATCCAAGAACCATGAAAGCTTATATCATAGTATATCTAGTACTCTTTGAAGTGCCAAAAGTCTCCTGATTGATCTAACTTTTTGTTTAGGTAGACCTCCTAGTGCTAACATGGAATAATTTACAGTCACTGGCCAAAGGCAATGTGAGGTAGACATACCATGAAACAAAACAGAATGCATGATTTGAGCAGCCGGTTCTTGAGGGGAGTGCCATTTTCCTATCTTAGTGGATCAGTTGGAAGGGATTGCTGGATATGGCAGTGCCATTATTTTGATTTTTCACTTTGGAATGAACTGATAGGTAGATGATGTGATGCATATAATTACAACATTCCCAAACAGTAATGATGGCCAGCAATCTAGTTTATATACATTTTTCTTTATACAGATGCTATACAGTAAAATGTGAAACATTTCAATATAAAATGTCAATTTCAGTTATATTCACTTTGGAATGCAAAAATATTTATGAATGGCTGCTAGGACAGAAAAAACACACATGCATGACACATTTTGTAAAAGAAGCAGCAGACTTTCTGTAATTCTCCATGAGCAAGGTTCATTCTGCTCACTGTCCCTGTTCAGGTTCAATTACTAGGCAAGGAATGTACCAAAGTCGAATTTTCTTTGTACCTAATTAGTATATGGTTCAGGGGCCTTTTCTTTTGGCTCTTCCAGGAGCATATAGCAATAGCAAATACATTTCTATACAGCTTATCAGGGCACTTAAGCACTCCCTAAGCGGTTTACAAAGTGTAAGCTAATTGCCCCCAACAAGCTGGGTATTCATTTTAGCCACCTCAGAAGCATGCAAGCCTGAGCTGACCTTGAGCCCCTGGCTGGTATTGAACTCACAACCTTGTGGTTTGTGAGTGAGTGGCTGCAGTACCAGCATTTAACCACTGTGCCAACAGGTATACACAATGTGCATCCTAGTATACACATTGTCAGGATACCAAGAGCCAACCTCATGATATCCTACCCATGAGTCCAACCTGTTTCCATTCCTGCACGCTTCCATGCCATGGAACCGTTACCATGCACCCTTTACCTGCAATGACCACGTTCCCCCTGCCATGGTGCATAAGGGCAGAAACGGGGTGCCTGGCTTCATCTATGTGCTCAGGCGCCCATCCCAATGTCATTGGCCACAACCAGGGCCTTCAGAAGGAACATGGTAGCGGCAGATAAGGATATGCTGGCTATTGCAGTGGAAGATCCAGGAAATTCCAGGCCTTTGCAGACTGCCAGAAATAGTGCAAATTGAGTCCACTTTAAGGGTTAGGGTTAGTGCTAGGGAAACATGGGATTTTTTTTTCCTGAGAAATTGAGTCTTCTCTGTCAGAGAGCTCTGGTGCCACAATAAAATACAGTTCCCATGATTCCCTAACCCTACCCTAACCCTTAAAGTGGACTCAATTGGCACTATTTCTAGGTCTTTTTAGACCACACTAAAGGCCTTTTGGGCAGGGGTCAGGCCAAAACTGCTGGACTGGCATCCAGTTTGGCCGATCGTCGCCTGGGATATCGGTCTGGGTCATCAATAAGGATGATGCCAGGCCAAGGGGAACATGGGCCTTTGGGCCTGCACATTCGTCCCCCAGGACAACCCAAAACTTGGAAAGAGCCAAAAGTGTGGCTCATTAGCCTGGCTGCTCAGGCTTATGCACATTTTTATTTGTTCTACAGAGGCCAATGTGATTTTCTTACTTACAGGATAGTATGCATAGGATTTTAGTTTTATGCAGACATAGGACATTATCACACGGGGGCAAATCTGCTGGTTAAT